TTTGGGCTTGGATTAGGTTGGGTGTTTTTTTTTCTTAAAAATTTTTTTGTTGGTTTGGGGGTTTTTTTTTTTTTTTTTTTTTTTTTTTTTGGCGATTTCAGAGGCAGAGGCAGAGGCAGGCGGATCTCTAATGAGAGACAGGGAGAGTCTGAGTTTTTTAGGCAACGGCATCCCATAACCGAGCAGGAGAGTTCAGGTAGGGATCAAGGGATACCAGCCCAGAGCACTGTGTAACAGTGCTGGGGACTGAGCTAGGCTAGAAGAACCCGGCAGCGAGGATCCGCTTTGCTATGTTAATAGCCACCTCAGCCCTTAGCCCTGGCTTTAAGACCTAACATCCCAGGTCTTTGTTGTTGGTAAAGGTAGAGGGGTGACGTCATCTCTTCTATAACCACATGGCTGAAATTGGGGCCTTGTCAGGGTCCCAGGAAAGCTGGAATGCTGAGCAAAGCCAGGAAGTGAGAGAGCAGTGCAGGCTGTTTCTCGATGCCCAGGTTCTGCGGGTCCACCTGAGCCTAGGGAAGCAGGGGTCACTTTGAAGCAGCCGGTGTTGCTGGACCGCCTAGGGCTAGCGGCTAGGATGCTGACTCCTAAGGGGTCCCTGGGACCGGCTGGGACAGAGAGATTAGGATGAGAAGGTGAAGTTAAGGAGTTTAGAGAAAATCTTCTCTTGGATGTACACTTGAAACTTTCAGACCCTTGGTCCTGGTAGGAAGTGGAGGGGAGTCCAGGAAAAAAGGGGAGAGACTCAGACAGGTGGGGAAATTTAGGCTATTGATTGACAGGTGTACCTAGCCGGAGTCCTGACCTGTGAGAGAGAAATCCAAGTCGACTCTCTGAAACTTAGATTAATTTTTTTTTTTAAGTTTAGAGATACTTTTAGCACAATGAGAAGCATTCTTACTTAAAAGATAACCAAAGGAGATGTAAAATTTTGAGTCTGTGACTATAATATAGTCAGTGCTTTACTAGGTTAATAGCTTATCAGAACTCTGTTGATTTATGTTAAAATTCTGAGCTTTTGAAGTCTTAGGATAGCAATGGTATAAAGAGGGAAAAAAGTCTGAAACATTTCTGGTTTTTATATACCTTACATCACTTCCATAGGCCTTTATAACTTGCATTAAACATCTTAAAACACTTTTTAGACCCTCACAACTTACTTAAGCTTTTATCCTCAGACATTTACAATTTGAATTTACATACTTACACTTTCTTAGACCCTCAAAACCTACATAATCTTTAACTTTTTTTTTAATCCAGTCATTTATCATGAGACATAGGTGGTTGATTACTGAGAGGGGTCAGTTTGATAGTAGGCACCTCAGCCATTTGTCCCAGGTCTGAGACCTAACATAATTGTGATAATGTGTACCCACATTTGCAGCTTTGTCTTATGAGCCTAGGCGTTAATTCATCACTAAAGATTAGATTCTAGCTGACAGTCTACAGAAAACAATTTTTTTTTTCCAAGACAGGGTTTCTCTTTGTAGCCCTGGCTATCCTGGAACTCAGCTTATAAACAAGGATGGCGTCAAATTTAGGAATCAATTTTCTTCTGCCTGTCTCCCAAGTGCTAGGATTAAATCTCAAATATTCTATAGAGAACTGGCAGCCCCAGATCTGGTTTTTGTTTGTTTGTTTTTTCTTTAAAGGACTTGAGTTGGGCATGGCAGTGATCAAAATCAAGAGGTCCTGGCTATATGACAGAGAACTTGTCTCAAAAGTTAGATTAAAAATAACTTAAAGGACTGGCAAATTTCAGTAAAAATCTGTAGATTAAATGGTATTATATCACTTTCAATTTCACAAATTTAGTATCTGCTTAGGCAGGAGCATATCCTTGTTTTAAGGAAGTATGAGTGAAAATTTTAGGGATAAGGAAAAACGTCTGAAAATTCCTCTCCAAAGATTTAGACAAAATTCCTCTGGATGTGGACCCAATGCAGTAGGATATTAAGTTGATCTACTGAGGGATTTCTTCTTCTCCTGCCCCAGGGCTGGCGAGCAATCCCAGGACCTGCTCTCTCTCACATGCGGGGTAAGCGCTCTGCAGCCCCAGTCAGAGAGAAAATCCTTTGCACTGTTCTTTGTAAGCACTGTCGGGTTAAGATCACTTCACTCATCCATGGTTTTGTTTTCATTTTTGTTTAGCCTCCCTCCCTGGCCCTTTGGCACTGCCATTCAGGTATGCAGCAAGGCTCGGTGCCGCCGCTTTCTTCTGTGATGATGTAATGTATTTGGGTGTTTTGTCTGCATGTATGTCCATGTACTATTTGCATGCCTGGCACCTGCTAAAGCCAGGAAAGGGTGTTGGATCCCCTGGAACTGGAGTTAAAGGTGTTTATGAGACACCATATGGGTGCTGGAAGTTGAACTGAGGTCTTCTAGAACAGCCAATGCTAAGCCTGATATATTTTTGTTGCCTTTCTTTAGTGAATAAAATAAAGGTTAAAAAAAAAGTTTTCCCTGGTTTTCGGTTAATTTTTTATCGGGTTTGGGGCATGAGTGTGTGCATGTTGCGTGTGGAGGAAAGAAGTGTCGGAGTACCCTGAAGTTGGAGTTACCGGCAGTTCTAAGTCCCTTGATATGACTGCTGGGTACCAAACTCAGTTCCTCTGCAAGAACAGGAAGCACTCCCTAACGGCTGTCTTACAGCCCTCCCCGTTGTTCTGTGTAATAGTCTTCATGTACTATAAGGTTGCTGTTAAGTGACCCTAGACTGAATAGCTGCAGCACCCTTATCCTTTTTCAGTGTGTGCGTGCGTTTGTGTGATGTGTGATCCTGATAACTGAACTTCTTGCTACTTTGGGAGGTTTTGTTTGTCTTGAGAAAGGATGACAATTACAGGGTAGGATAGCCTTGACTTTTTTGTGTATCTGAGGCTGGCTTTGAACTTGTCACTTTTA